ACACACATTTTTGACTGGGTGTCTCACCAGTCAGCATGACCGGACTATAGCCTTGCAATTTATGTTAACATTTTTTGGGGACAGATAGCTTTCTTCTGGAGGTATATTATCACCACTGGGGGGGTGATTTTTTTACTATATAATGAAATAAGTACAGTACATTTTTTACAAAAATCAAAGTTTCCCTACGTTATGTTATAAAACATCTATTCTTACCCATATTTTTGGTAAAACATAAAAGACGGGGTCACGTCGGGTAAATAAGACACCAAACATGTCAAGCCTTAAAATTGCGCACGCCTGCAAAATCGAGCAAACCGAAAAATTGGCCTTAGGCGACGCTTAAAACGCTTTTACCGCTCATCAGTTTAGTGTTATCAGTAATTAATGGCCCTAAAATTATTGCTCATCCTCCGACGTTTGCGGTTATATGTAACATGTGCGGCACAATCGTTTTCGCACGTAGGCACACCCGACGCATATCTACATGTGTATGTGGGGGACTTAAAAAAAAAATTCTCTTTTTTAATGCTTCTTTAATTTTTGTATTACTGTATTACTTGTAATAATTTCTGTATTACAAAACCCGCTCATACATGTCTTCATGAACCTTGCTTTGTGCACTGGTGCGCAGTCATGTTGGAACAGAAGGGGCCATCCCCAAACTGTTCCCACAAAGTTGGGAGCATGAAATTGTCCAAAATGCCTTGGTATGCTGATGCCTGAAGACTTCCCTACACTGGAACAAAGGGGCCAACCCCTGAAAAACAACCCCACAACATAATCCCCCCTCCACCAAACTTTACACTTGGCACAATGCAGTCCATCGGATTGCCAGACAGAGAAGCGTGAGGCGTCACTCCAGAGAACATGTCTCCACTTCTCTAGAGTCCAGTGGCGGCGTGCTTTACACCACTGCATTGCACTTGGTGATGTAAGGCTTGGATGCAGCTACTCGGCCATGGAAACCTAGTCCATGAAGCTCTCTACGCACTGTTGTTGTGTCAATCTGAAGGCCACACAAAGTTTGGAGGTCTGTAGCTATTGACTCTGCAGAAAGTTGGCGACTTCTGCATGCGCTGACCCTCCGTTCTGTCATTTTACGTGGCCTGTTGCTGTTGTTCCCAGGTGAGTAGCTGTTGTTCCCAGGTGCTTCCATTTTGTTACAATACCACTAACAGGTGACCGTGGAATATTTAGTAGCGAGCAAATTTCACAGAACACCTGAATCCAATGGATTTGGAGGGGTGTCCCAATACTTTTGGTAATATGGTGAGAGTTTTTTTTTTTTGTCTTATCTTTTGTAGACTTAGGCATTTGTACATTTATTGTTGGTTGTATTCGGGGTAAAACAAACTGTTATCTTTGTTTTACCGAGGTTTGGTTTTATATGTTTGTTGCACGTGTAGGACATTTTCAAGACCTTTTTTTCTTCATCCTGTGATAGAAAGCTATTAATGTCAGTGTCACAGTTAGGAAATTCACTCTCTCCAATGCCAATTCCCTCTCTCCAATGCCGTTATAGCCCAAACTTTCTTTTCCGTAGCTATGAAGTGGGAAAGGGTTAGAACCTCCTTCAAGTTTTACAGTTGCTACATGGACAAGAGGCAAGGAGAAAAATCTTCCAATGGGAACCCTGACAACCATGATTAATATAATTCTTTGTAAACTAGAAAGTAGGGATGTTCAGATACCAGGATTTGTATCGGTGCAGATACTTGGCATTTTCATGAGAACTACCAGGGTTGCAGCGGTTGCAGCTGGGACCTGGCTCTGGCGCTCCACCGCTGTCCTGCAATCATTAGTCTGTATTGTTTTAGAAAAACTGTCACATGACAATAAACAAAAATGCATCAGTAATTGGACAAGTATCAGTACTTGGTCTGGAAAAAATGGTATCGATGATAGATAGATCTATATATATTCAAATGATACAATAAAACAGGGATGTACAAATCCCAGGAGCCCCGTAGCCAATGCTTCTTAAAAATGACAGCTGCCTCCTAACGAGTTCCTCTCTATTCTAGTCTTGGAGCTGGAAAAGTATCTGTACTTGAAGTTGTACCAAGCACAGCGCTTGGTATCTGAACATCCCTACTGGTAAGGCTTTTGGAAGGGCAGGTAGAATCCTGAAAAATGCACAGCAGGTAAAAATCTGAAGACACTCCAGTCCTTGGCAACAGCGAGATTTCGGCTGCTCTGTATTCCCCAGGATTCAGCCACAAGAAGTGTGACCTTGTGCTTGCCCTGGCACTACAGATGGAAGACAGGAGAGAGGAAAGTAAAAGAACAAAAACTTTTACAGGTACATTTTACACCTACTAACTAGCAATTGGTGAAAGGGCCCAGACAGCATCTTACTGCAAGGTCTGCTTTAACAGGTTATCAATCCACCGCACCAAGCTCACTCCTGTGATGGACTACAATCTCACATATTTACTCATTTGTATTGATATTGTAGTCCATCAGGGGAGGGAACTTGGAGCGGTTTACAACACACACACACACACACACACACACACGGAACAAAAGTAGGCACCCTTCAGAAGGAAGGACAGTGTCAGCACCAATTCAGAGATGATTGGAGGATCTACAGCCGATACACAAATAAGATACATTTTTGAAGTAACGCGGAGATCCGAGAATGAGCCTCCAGCAGCCTGTCCCCTGCCTCTGACACCCCCCTATGATGCAGCAGTATGATGACGACCTCAGCCATACAGCCTAAACACCGCCTTCCTGCCGCTGTGGTGTGACCAGTAACCATTGCACACTGCCCGGACATCCCCCCATAACAGTTACAGCTCCAGTCCTCCAGCTGCTGTGTGCGTTGCTCTCCGCCCGCGTGTTTATGTTGTTTCAGCACAGTGATGCTGCACCTGTAGCCCCGCCCCTTCTCTGCAGGCCTCAGCCGCGTCCCTCACCCGTACTCGTCCACAGACATTGTGCGAAGCCACCAACAAGACTCGCCCGTTCCCTTGCTCTCCTGTCGGACCTCCCGTTCCCGCACTTCCCGTACCTGCCGCTCGGTCTCCCGCTAGAGCCCGGACTCTCCAGCACCTCCGGGTCCAGCAGCTCCGTCCCTCGCACTGCGCGTCAGCAGCCTGCCTGCGTCATCCACAGCACCAATCAACACACCGAGCATGTCCGGAAATAGCCAATAGGTGAGTGGCAGGAGGCGGGGGGGAGGGTCTATCTGCAGGTAAGGAGAGGATGCGGACCAATGGGAGGCGGTGACCTGTGTGCTGGTAGTCAGGTGGAGGGTTACCTGCTTGTTTCCAGGCACCGCACACATAGACAGACTACTATCAGTTGTGCTTGGGATACATGACGGCATTTCCGGATGTTTCTTCTCATTATCACAGCGATCAGGGAATACATCTACTGAGGTGCATTGTGCTTCCGAGCAATAAAGACGTTTCAGAACTGTGTGATGTTATTAAATGGGGGTATGGCTTGTTTTATTTGTCTGCTCAGCTTTACCTTATAAGACCTTCTCTGCTTGGCTGCACGAGATGTTCTAAAGGATTTAAAGAGTATGTGCGGCACAAACTTTGTTTTTTGTTTTGGATAGGGTAGGGTTCATTTTTTTCGCTGCTTGCATACCATTGGGGGAGATTTCACTTCACTTCCTGCCCTAGAGACACACCAGGAAGTTGGTAATGGTCACTAGTCATGATTGGGGGCTTGGTGGGAGCCCAGTTGCCAGAGGTTGGCCAAAACTGTGACTGATGCACCCTTTCCCCTACTGGTCAGTTGCAGTACATGGGGATTCCCTGCTTCTGTGTGACAAATGGCTGCAGGGCGGGGAATCCCACGGCCCAATTTATTGGGCCAGGAAGGGGGTCTCCGTCACAGTTTTGCACAGGTTTGGGTGAACTGGGTTTGCGCCAAGGCCCCACACATCACTAGTAATCACCAAGTACAGAGCGTGAATCTCCCCAATATACACAGACCGCAATAAATCTTCCCCCTTCTATCAAAAACAACAAGACTTTGCCTGGAGGTACACCATAAAGTGACCCTGTCACCACATGGGTATTTATTTTGTGTTAAAGCTCCACCACGTTACTGCGTCAGTTATAGAACACTTCTGGGTGTGTGGGATACCTGCTCCCCCCCCCTGTGCATGCTTTGGTTCTTCCCAACGGCTCATATGTCCTGTGGCGACATACAAACCAGCGGGAGGAAGCACAGCATGCAGGGGGGGAGCAGGTATGAACCACAATCAGAAGTGTCAGCTAACTGCAGCAGTCGGGGGTCAACAACATTGTAGTTTTAACACATGGGCCACCAGAAAGCTACTGTAAGTACAAATGATCTTCTTTGATAGGTTGTCTTGATTTTACTTACAACCATGAAGGGACATGGTCACTTGAGTCCCTATACACACCATGGCGTTGCACGAATGTGCATCGTGGTGACGCTCCTTCGTATGCGTTTGCTTCCTGCATTTGGAGTGTGTTCCCATAGATTTCAATGGGCTCCTGAATGCCCACCAAATGCAGGAAAGTAGTGCATGAAACAAATCTGCAATATGCATTCCGCATTTATTCCCACCCATTCGAACACGCAGGAAAACCATGCTTTTGCCCAGCTACATTTGGAGTGCCGTTCTCTAGTGATGGCAAGTCAAGCGTGTTTGGCATCTTTGACGCATTCCATGAAGGCACATCAAAGCACGTGGGTTTTCCCGTGTTTGGCGCATGTTCACAGAACGCGACGCTGTGAACGGGGCCTTGAGGTGTATGTAAAATCTATAGGGGGAATAAATCAAATAGAAAACCAGCTGCACTCCTTACCGGAACAATGGAAGCACTGCAACAGCAGGTGGGTGCTTGTAGCGACCACGGACGGCACCGTGTATAGTACAAGAGTGGAAAGTAAATGTCACCAGCACACCAAAAGTATTTCAGCAAAAGTCAGTTTATTGACACATTGCCATTCAGTACAAGCGCTTTTTGGGGCCCCTTCATCAGGCTCAGAATGATGAAGATGATGGTGTGTTGTAAGACTGTGTCATTCTGAGCCTGATGAAGGGGCCCCAAAAAGCGCTTGTACTGAATGGCAATGTGTCAATAAACTGACTTTTGCTGAAATACTTTTGGTGTGCTGGTGACATTATCTATAGGGGGAATTCATGAAAACCGGAGCAGACAGTTTTCCTATGGCAACCAATCAGCTTCTCTCTTCAGTTTGTTCAGTTAAGCTTTGAACATGAAACAGAGAAGCTGATTGGTTGCCATGGGCAGCTGCTCCAGATTGTATAAATTCCCCTTATGATTGCCATCCTGCCTCGCTGTATGTAGTTATTTAAGCAAAATCGTTTTTTGAATCTGAAAGTTTTCTACCTGAAGATCTGCCAGTAACAGCACTTACTGGAAAATAGATTTAAGGCCTATATATACACTATGGCGATGTTGTAAATGCACGCTATTGCACAAAGTATGGTGACGCACATTAGGTGCAGAGGTGCGTTGCTATTGATTTCCAGTGGCACCCAACACAGCTCCCGGTTGGCAGACATTACCATGATGTGCAACAACGTGGTAGTACAACAACGTGCTTTGCAGTAAAGGAATGCTTGCACAATGCACGTCTGCTGGGAGGTGCATTGGAGTGCCATTGAGGATGAATGGCAGTGGACCTAGCATGCAGTGCCATGTGCTTTGCGTGTGTTAAATGTATGGTTCCTGTGCATTTATTTGGACGCTGTAGTGTGAATAGGCCCTTCAGAGCTAAAGACTTCTGTATGATAGTTTATACAAGTACCAAATTCAGTTACTATGCGATACACAAATCTCATAAAGTAAACAAGAAACTTCCTTTACCTACCCAGACTAAGACAAATCCTACCTCATTTGTGTCTCACATGCTCCCCATCCCAGACACTGCAGCTCACAGTGGGAGGGTTTTCAGCAGCACAGACAGTGCTGCCAATCCAGACAGCAGTGGGCAGGACTGGGCACGACAGGTTTGTGAATGAAAAGAACTATAGAGCAAGACTAGAGTATACCCTTAAACATATAGACCAAGCCTTCTGGAACAATGTGCTGAAGACTGACCAATCAAAGCAAAAGTTGCTTGGTGACAAACTGAAGACAGCAGTTCAGAAGAGGAACCTCGTCACAACTGTGAAGCATGGTGGTAGAGGTTTATGGTTTGGGGTTGCTTTGCTGCTTCAGGGCCTGGGCACTTGAAGTCATTGAGTCATATATTCTGCATCATATCAAAGTGTACTTGATGAGAATCTGAGCATACCAGAAAACCACCAAAGAATGGCTCAAAAAGAAGAAATAAAGGGTAATGGAGTTCCTTTGTCAAAGCCCTGATCTAGTTCCCATTTAGATTTTGTAGGGCTATATTTCCAACCTCATCTGAAAAATCACCCGAATTGTCCTCTCCACTACTCCCAAGACCTCCTATTCCCTTGCAAGCTCCTCCAATGCCACCTCCAGAACATCTCTAGAGACTCTTCCCTCCTCTGAAACTCCCTACCATAACCTGTCCTACTGTCTCCTACCCTGTTTGCCTTTTGGCGATCCCCGAAAAGTCATCTCTTCAGGGAAGCCTATTTGACCTCCACCTAACAACTGAACTTTTACTTTCTCATGTAACTCATGCTCACACAGCTACCACCTTTTGTATTATTTACCCCTCCCTTTTAGATTGTAAGCTCCCACAATCAGGGCCCTCCTTACCATCTTGTCTTGTATTGTGATTGCATTGTCTCCCTTTATATTGTAGAGTGCTGCGCAAACTGTTGGCGCTGTATAAATCCTGTATAATAATAATAGGGGGATTTTGAAATGGACACTTCATGCAAGACAGTCCACAAACTAGCAACTGAAGGAATTTTGCATGGAGAAGTGGAGTCAATGTCCAAGACTAGTGGGTAGTTATACAAAATGTCTACAAAAAGTAATTTCTGCTGCAGGAAGCAGTGCCAACTACTGATGCCAAGGGTGTACTCACATTTCCCACAGTGCAACATTACATCTAATTATATTTTTGTTGAATAAATTATTGAACAGGCTCATTTGTCATGCGTTTTTATTGAAGTACAGTATATCACCTTTAACTGTAGACACAGCCTGAATAAAGAGCGAATGTTTGCCTGTTCAATTATGTTACAATAACAATTACATGTGGTGCCATTCAAACAGAACTATGGCCCAACCTTTTTTTTGCCATTGTTCTTTTTAGGGTCACAGAAGGACATTTAATGTTCTCCTGTGACCCAAAACTCAACATACAGTATAGCAAGCTATTGCCGACTATATGCTGATACCACAGAGCCGTGCTGCAGACAGGAAAGATCCTGACAATATTGTCAGGATCCACCCCACTGCCTGATTGACAACTGGCTCTGCCTCTCTAGAACCAGCGGTGCCCGCCTCCTCCTCAGTCTGTTCCTCCAGTCAGCATGGGAGGAACAGGGAGGGGGGAAATCCCTGCTGGGCGCAGTGACTGACAGTCACCGCTCTCTGCAGGGAGAAGATCCTGAAGTGAGCGATCAGAGGTGTGTGGTTTGTGATCACTCTGTTCTCAATCAATAGAGCCAAACATATGACAGCTGCATTGTCACACGTCGGCTCTAACTATGGGGATAAGTGTAATTTACTCTCCCAATAATTCTACTTTCACACGCTATATAAATACCTGTAATAAATAAGTCGCATTCATAATGTATAGAGCACACTAACCCAGATAGCAAGCAATTGAGGTGCAAGTTTGAAAATGACTTGCTAAACTATTGCTAGACTTGCCAAGCTTCACAATTGTGTTGCACAATTACAGCAAGTCTGCATTGCAAGTCTCCAGATCAACATGCTTTGCAAAAGTGCAGCGCTCTTGTTAAGACCTGCTGGACTCTTGCTGTAGATTTGCCAAGCAAATTTGCTACAAATTCAAAAAAGTGTCAACTAGAACTTGTGCTGCAAGTGTTCTGCAAGTCTACAACTTGCCAGGAATGTGTGCAGCAAGCAGTGGCATAACCAGAGTTATGGGCGCCTGGGGCAGAACATTCCCCCCCGGCAATATCTGGTTGTTGTACAGGGGCAATGAGGGCATGCTGGGACTTGTAGTTCCCTAGCTGATATGTTATGAAGCTGTATTTCCTTAGCCTGGTGGTCAGTGGGGGCTTCCTGGACCCTGGTTGTGGGGGTGCCTGCCGTGGACCCTGGTTGTGGGGAGGGTCTGCCGTGGACCCTGGTGCAGTGGTTATGCTTTGCGGCCGCCCGAACAGT